TAAGGAATTTTCTATGTACACAATTGTATCATATGTAAATAAAGACAATTTACTTCTTTCTTCCTAACCGCATGCCTTGCTTCTCTTTTTCTTCCCTTCTTGTACCAGCCAGAGCCGCCAGCTCAGGGCTAAACAGGAGGGTGGACATCGTTGCCTTGTTTCCAGTCTTGGGTGGAAAGCATTCTCTTTCACTGTTAAGGGTGATGCTTGCTGTAGGTTTTCCTGGGTGTCCTTTCTCAGGTTGAGGAGGTCTCCTGAAAATTATCCCCATAAACTGATGTTGAATTTTGTTAAATGTTTTTTAGTTTGTCTAAGGAAATTACCATATGATATTTCTTCTTTATTCTGTTGTCATGGAGAATCACATTCTTCGATTTTGAGTGGTTAAACAAACCTTGCATTCCTGAGATAAATCCCACTTGGTATGTTATATTCTTAATGTATTGCTGGATTTGTTCTGCTAGGCCTTTGCCAAGCACATGATCTATAACGTACTCTATTATTTTCTAATGTCTGTGGGACATGTAGTGATGTACCGTCTCATGCCCGTTGTTGGTCATTGCTTCTCCTTATTTTTTCCTTGATCAGTGTAGCTAGAGTCAGTTTTCTATCAATCAGAATTTCTATCAATTTTATAGATTATTACAAAGAAGCACCTTTTTGGATTATTTCCCCCTGTTGTTTGGCTGTTTTCTGTGTAACTGATTTCTGCTCTTTATCGTTTTCTTCCTTCCACTGATTCTGGGTTTAAGTGTTCTTTTTCCAGCTTCTCGAGGGGAAGATTAGATGACTGATTTGGGGCCTTTCATTTCTAACATAAACATCCCATACATTTTAATGTTGTTTTCATTTTCATGCAGTTCAAAACATTTGTTTCCCTCGTGATTTTTTCTGTGACCCACGGACTCTTTAGGTGTCTGCTGGCTAATTTCCAAATACGTGGAGATTTTCCAGATATTTTTGTCATTAAATTCTGATTTAATTCTGAAGACCTTCCTGTAACATTTCTTCCACCACAGATCTGCTGGTGATGAATTCCCTCAGCTTTTATTTGTCTGAAAATGATTTTATTTCACCTTAGTTTACTTTTGGGGGGACATTTCACTGTACATACAATTCAAGGTTAACAGTGTCTTTTTTTTTTTTTTTTTTTAACTGCTGCAAGCGTTCTGTTCCATTGTCTTGGAGCTTGTGTTGTTTCAGGCGAGAAATCTGCGGCTCTCTTATCTTTGCAACGTGCCTTTTCTCTCACTGCTTTTAAGGTGCTTCTTTGTCGCTGGTTTTCCCCAAGTTGATTATGACGTGCCTTGAGTGATTTTCTTCATATTCACGCTGCTTGGGGTCTATCATCCTGAAAAATCCCATTTGGTTGTTTTACAATATCTTTTTAGTTCTCACCACAATTCAGCTTGGTTAATATTTATTGATTCAATATTCAACAAGTATGGAACACCTACTGTGTGCCTGGCATCATGATACAAGACAAAGATCCCTGTTTTCATGGAGCATATGTCCTGAGAGCAGAAGAGGAAAAAACCCAATAACCTAGTAATAAGATTACAAGCCTGTAATCTTGTGAGTGTGAGATAGAGCTGTAAGCGCTGTGAGACAAAGTACAGGAGGTTAAAGGGCAGGCAGGCTGGGTGGGGTGCGGGGTGAGGGGAGGCTTGTCACAGCAAGGGAGGCGACAGGCTGCAGGAGAAAGTGCTGGGGTGGGATGAACAGACTTCCAGGCACGGGGTGGTTCCAGGAAGCCTGACGTGGCTGCAGGGATGAGGGGAGAGCAGGAGGGAGGAGGTGGGGTGGCCGGCACAGACCAGGAAGGCCCCGTGGGCTGATAAAGGCTTTTGCTTTGCTCTGGGATGGGAGCCACTGCAGGGGCAAAGGGATGACATGATCTGTCCTTAGCCTCTAGAGGGTCCCTCTGGCTGCTGCACGGTGAATGGACCCTAGGGGTCTGAGGGCGGAGTGGGCAGAGGTGACTGCAGTGACCCGCTGAAGGGGATGGTGGCAGGGACCTGCTGGTGGCCGTGGGTGACGGAAAGTGCTCGGATTCTGAATACGTTCTGAAAGTGGGCCTGTCTGGACTTCCAAGTCAGGTGAGAAGAGGGGTCCACAGGGACTCCAAGGTCATTGGCCCGAGCGAGTGGAAGGACAGACCACCATCCATCAGCTGACACCAGAGGGCGGTGGGCAGGTGGCTCAGGTGGTGCGGGCACAAGGCTGGACTGGGCCACACAAGCATCTTGGGCAACCTGGGTCGGGGCAGGGACAGCTCTTAGGAGTTGGGCCACACAGGGCTGGGGAGGAGGTGGAAAGAGTCGGGCCTCGTTAGCTCAGGAAACAGTTACTCTGTAGCCACAGAAGGGAAACAGCTCTTGGTTGCTTGGAGCAAACCAGAGGCCTGAGGTCTGGGCACAGAGGGGGCGGGGGGCCACTTCCTCTCTCTTTTTTGTGTCATTTTTTAATTCATTTTTGTCTTTTTCCTTCTTTCTTTTCTTTTCTCTCAATAGCTACTTATTGAGATGTAATTCACATACCACAAGAGCCACCCTTTCAAAATGTACAACTCAACGTTTTAATACAGTAAGGAGGTTGGACAACCACCACCTCTAATTCTAGGTCACGTCTGTCACCCCAAGAAAGAACCCCTGTGCCCATCTGCGGGCGCTTCCCTTCCCTTCCCTCTGCTGTGGGTTTGCCTCTTCTGGACATTTTGTCCAAGTGGCATCACACGTTTGTTCTTTTTGACGGCCTCCTTTCACTCAGTGCCCTGTGTTTAAGGTCCCTCGTGTTGTGGCGTTTCAGCGCTTCAAGCCCTTTTGAGGCTGGAGACAGGCGTCTGGTCACCGCCGGCCAGGGAGGGGCCCTGCCTGGGCTGTGCGCTAAGGCGCGGCGCCCGCGCTCAGGGGCGGGCGGCCTCTAGCGCCGTCACCCGCTTCGGCCCCCACCCCGGGCCGCGGCACATCCCAGCTGCCCCCTGACGCCGCTCTGTGCCGGCGCCGCGGCACCCAGAGCCCGAGTGAGGCGGGCGAGAGCTGGGGAGGCGGCGGCGCTGCGCAGGGAGGGCCGGGCGCCCGGGGCCGGTAAGCGGGCGAGCGCCTCCCGAGGGCCTGGCTGCGGCGGGGCTCCGTGGACGCAGGGGCCGCCGGGGAGGGCGGCTGGGGTGCGGGGCCACCTGGCTGGGGCTGGCACATGGCACCTGGGGTCCCTGGCCGCGTGAGGACCCAACGCCCAACCCGGGGTGTCCCCGCCTCCGGGACGTTCGGCAACCGAGCGGGCGGGAGGCGAACCAGGGAGGGTCTCCCGGGGAGGGTCCCCCGGACACGGCTCCCAGCGATGCCATCGGACCCGGGAAGTGTAGCCGCCCAAGCGAGGCTAGTGCCGACAGCGGGGGGCGCCACTCCTCGGGGAGGGTTGGGGGTCATCTGCCGAGGCCCCCAGCCCCGGGGAGCCCGCGCCCCCTCCCGGGCCCTCCGAGTGGCGCCTGGGGAAGGGTCTCCGGCGCTCCGGGAGAAACGCGCAGCGGCGCCCACCCGGGCGTCCCGTCGCAGGGGCGGGGCCGGGCCGGGGGACCGCAGTCCTCCCGGCGGCGACGCCGTGAACGCCAAGCTCGCACCCCTCAGCCCCGCCCCGCCCCGTCCCCCGCGCACGCGGCTCCTTTAAGAACTTGCTGCGCCCGCCCGCCTCCTTTTTCTCGCGCGTCGCCCTCCTCGGCCGCCCCGCCCCTGCCGGGAGCGCGCCTGCGTCACCGCGCAGACCTCAGCCCTGACCCCACGTCCGCGCCTCGGAGGTCAGGGCGAGCCATTGCTTGCCGAGCTCGGGGGCGCGTGACAGGAGGCGGGCGGGGCCTCCTCCGGAAGGGGCGGGCTAACTTGAGAGCAGCCGCGTCGCGGCGTAGACGCTATAGTGGCCGGGCCGACCTTCGCCCCCGCGCCGCCCGGGCCACGGCGAGCCAATGACTGTCGCCATCTGGGGCATGTGACAGGGGGCGGGCCCTTCGCCGGAAGAGTGAGGTGAGGCGAGCGGCCGGGTCGCGCGGTAGGTACCGCGGTCCTGCGCCGCCGGGCAGCGGCGACGGGGCGGGGGCGGGGGGGCGGAGGGCGAGCCCTCTCTCGGGGACGCCCCCTGTGTCCCCCTCGTGATGCCCCTACCGCACCTCTCCCCGGACGCCCCCTCCTCAGTCCGGCAGCTCCCCGGACTTCAGGACGGGGGCGGAGTCGGCCCTGACAGGGCTGTGGGCAGCCGGGTGCTGGCGTGTGCTCGGGAGAGCGGCTCCCGCCCCGGCCGCCGGGGGTCGGCGACGATAAACGTTACTGTTGGCGGGCGCGACGGGAGAGGCTGCGCGCACCTTCCCGGCCCTTCTTTCCACTGGTGAAGCCGAGCCCTGCAGCCAGCCAGGCGTCCTCGGCGCCCCAGGCTCAGGGCGACCCCGGCCCCTTCCTTCCTGCGCAAGTGCTGCGCGGGCGCCCCGGCCTCCTCCGCACCCGGCCTCCGGGCGGCTCCCCGCGCGCAGGTCGAGTCGCAGCAGCTCGCTCCGGGTGTAGAGGCCGCCTTGTGGCCTTTGGACGGATAAGTCGTGTTGGCGAGGGAAGAGGGGCGGCGGCGGTCCTGTGGGAAAGCTAATTTAACGAAGTGCAACGTAGACCGTTCTGATCCTTGCCTTACCGCAGTGCGTGGCCGGAGGCGGAGAACAGCCGGGCTGCAGCCTCTGCCGCGCTGGTGGGGTCGGACCGCAGACCTCCAGAGCTCACGTGCTGTTGTTACTCCTTTCCTAATTTCCACCAAAAAGGTCTTGTTAGTCTGATTTGGAACGTCACCTTGAATTGTATTTCAGCATCGGGGGTCACCTCCCAGAGGCCAGGGAGCGAGGACCCAGCCTTGCGCCCACACCCCGATGCCCAGCACACAGTGGAGCCCAGCAAACATTTGCCGGTGAAACCCAGAGCCCTGAAGTGCTAGGTGGTCATTTATTGTGTCTGCGTTGCAGGTTTCTACATATGGATCAGAAACTTTCAGAGTTGGTGGAAGAGCTCACAACTTCAGGAGAGCCCCAAGTGAATCCCGAGAAAATGAAGGAGCTGAAGAAAATTTGCAAGTACGACATAAGCGTTCACGTTTTAGGTGACGGCTGTCTCAGCAAGCCCGTGACAGCCCTGGGAGATTGTGGGGCTCCCCCGGGGTCCGCCCTCCCCTGCCTGTCCCCACGATCGACCCTTTGCCAGGAAAGAACCAGTAAAGGGACATGCCCGGGACGTCTCTTCAGGGCCCTGCAGCGCCTGGTCGTGTTCTGGGTAGCGGTCCCAGGTGGGGCTGTGTGGCATGGGGGAGAACACAGCAGGGCTGTGGTTGGTGTCTGTTCACTCCCATGTGTGTTTGTGTGTGTGTGTGTGTGTGTGTCCTTGAGCGCACGTGTGTGACTTACGGATTAGTTACTGTTGGAACAAAGGATGGGAGGAAGGTTAGAGATATAGCAGGCGAGCTCTGCAGGACCTGTTTTTCAACACCACCCCATCTTTTCTCCCACTGCCGAGGGCCTCTCAGATGCTGGGAACGTAAGCCGAGGGGATTTACTGATCGTTCTTATCCTGTGTTTACAAAGCAGGGGAACTTAAGTGATCCTGTTAGTGATTTACGTTTTGATAAAAAATAGTGGCTCAGATCAGGTTTTGCCGCACGCCCCAGAATCCCCCCAAACAGCAGGGTGTGTGCAGGGGCGGGGATAGCCGGTAGGAGGAGCAACGAGGGGTCAGGGTGTGCGCCGGCCCACCAGGGCGGCTCCCAGAGGCCCACAGAGCTTTCTGGGGGTGCTGGCACGTGTGGTCTCCCCTTGGGGTGGGTTCTCTGCTACGCGAGTGCAGGGCCGGCAGGCCTCTACCCGCGGGCCGGCCGGACGGGGAGTCTTTCAGGCTCCGCAGGCGGTCAGGTCTGCTGTGGGCACTGGGCTGTGGACAGGTGGTCAGCCGCTGAATGAATGAATGGGCCTGGCTGGGTCCCAATAAAACCGGGCACCCACACTGAATCTCGTACGTCAGGAAGTGTTACTCTTTTGACTTGTCTTAACCAAGAAAAGGAGAAACTGTTCTTGACTTGTGGGCTGTGCAGAAATAGGCAGGGGCTGGGGTTGGCCCGCGGGCAGTAGTTTGTCCACTTTGCTCTGGAGGAAGGACAGAGGGCTGCGGGAGGGCGCGCGTCCCTGCCACCTGTGGGTGCGTCAGGCGCCTGGTGAGGACGGCTGTGTCCTCAGGTCTTCAGAGGAGCAGCTTGGCCGCACCTACCGCCTGCTGATGGCGCAGCTGAGCCAGGAGCACGCCGAGGTCCGCCTCTCCGCTTTCCAGGTCCTGGACCAGCTTTTTGCCAGGTCTCACCATTTCAGGGTGCTGGTCGTTTCCAACTTCCAGGAGTTCCTGGGGCTCACACTGGGCACCGACCACGAGCGGCCCCTGCCGCCCCCCAGGGAGGTGGCACAGAAGCTGAGGCAGGCCGCCACCCGGGCCATCCGCGGCTGGAACGAGAAGTATGGAACAGCCTATAAGAAGCTGGCCCTGGGCTTCCACTTCTTAACGCACAACAAACAGGTAGGCAGGCCCCAAGCTGCACTGCCCTCCCCGCGGGGAGACCTGCCTGAGCCCCGGGGGTACTGAAGGGGGCGGGCCTCGGGGGCTCCCAAGACAGGAGGAGCAGCTTTGGGGGAAGAGCCGCAGCCCGTCCCCACGTGTAGGTGCTGAGCCTTTGGACCTGGTTTCTAGGAAAGATGAAGAAGAATGAGGAGGGAGATTCAGCTGCTCAGACGCAGCCCTTTTCTGTGCTGGGCTCTGCGCTCGGGCTGTCCCCCGCTTTCACTGTGAGTTGCTGCCTGGGCTGCCACAGGCTCTGGCCGGCCCGGGTGGATGGTACCTACCAGTACCGGTAGTGCCAGCCTCCCCCACGTGCCTGTACTCCCGGCCTGTGGCTGCTGCCTTTCCTGCCACTCCCTAGGGGTCCACTCGAGCGTTGTTCTCAGGCCCCTCGGTCCAGCCAGCAGCCTTCCTTCCCACTAATTGGAGCGAGCTTGCTGCCTGCCTGCTTGCAGCACACGTGGGGCTGGAAGTCTTTTACATCTTATTTTAGTGGGAGACGCCGCTGGCTGTGTTCTTACAGGGGGTTAAACATCGCAGCTGAGCGTGTCGCTGTGTGTGTTAAAAAAGCGCGTGTGAACTTGAGACCCGTAGAGCTCATGACTGTAGCTGGTCCGGCTGCGTCTTCTCTTACGCCAGTTTTTGCTTTTTGTGTTTTGTTTTTTTGAATTTAGTTATTTTATTTATTTATTTTTAGCTGTGTTGGGTCTTCGTTGTTGCGCGCGGGCTTTTTTCTAGTTGGGGCGAGCGGGGGCTACTCTTCGTTGCGGTGCATAGGCTTCTTACTGCAGTGGCTTTTCTTGCTGCAGAGCACGGTCTCTAGGTTTGCAGGCTTCAGCAGTTGTAGCACGCGGGCTCAGCAGTTGTGGCCTCGCGAGCTCTAGAGCACAGGCTCAGTAGTTGTGACGCACAGGCTTAGTTACTTTGCGGCACGTGGGATCCTCCCAGACCAGGGCTCGAACCCGTGTGCCCTGCATTGGCAGGCAGGTTCTTAACATATGCGCCACCAGGTAAGCCCCCTTAGGCCTGTTTTTGATTCTTGTTTTACTTGGGTTCACGACGGTCAGATCTGATCTTTACCTCAACTTCTCAGGTAGATTTCCAAGATGTGGATGCTAGAACTCTGGCAGAGAGAAAGCGAGCAGAGGAGAAACAGAAGCGCTTGGACAGAATCTACAAGGAGAGGTCTGAGCAGGCCGCGCGGGAGATGGAAGGTGAGCTGTGGGGAATGGGGGTGCCCCAGCGCCCACCTGCTGCACCTTCCCAGGCAGAGCTCGGGTCTCCGCCCAGCTCTCTGTTCTCCCATCCCAGGGCCTGGTCCCTGATGGAGGGGCTGGGGGGTAGGCGAGTGGGCAGGCTGGCTGGTCGGAGCTGGCTCAGGTTGAGGGCTGGGGGAGGCACTCAGCCACAGACCCCAGCCCTCCCTTCTGGAGGCCGGGCAGCAGGAGGCACCCTGCAGGCCATCCACGCCTCCCCCGCGGCCCCGGCGACAGTGCTTGAGACGTGCACCCCGCAGTGGTCTGCACACCCCATGCGTTTGACGCTCCTCCACCCCCCAGCCATGGTCTTACGGGCCTCCTCCCCAGATCCCCACCCTTGGCCAGCCCTTCCCGTGAAGGGCAGCCAGGGTGGGAGCACCTGGGGAGGAGGCCTGGCCTCAGGATAGCCGCAGAGCAGGGAGAGGTGGTCGGCCCGGGGGAGATGCCGAGAGGGTGGGGGGCGGCCAGAGCGGGACGGTGGCGGTGTTCCCCTCGGCCGGCTGCTGTCTTCCAGAAGTACTGCCCACAGAGGCTCTCGCTGGGTGTCCATAGATGCCGCCGGGCACCGTCGCAGCATGAGTCGGGACTGAGGGTGGTACCCAGGACGTCCTGAAGGATGGCCTTGCCGTGGCCGGCCGGGTGCTCTCTGGAGCAGGGCGCCTGCCTGCCCCTGTGGAGGAAGTGGGGGGTGGGGCGGGCGGTTGGCTGCCTCCCCACCCTCGACTGCCAAGTCCTGATGGGACCCAGCGAGCCCCGTTTTGTTCTCCTAGAAATGTCCGGGGAGATCCGGAGCTGCCTAGTGGAGCTGGAGAGCTGTTTCCGACTGCTGGTGCCCTTTGACCTTGACCCGACCCCGGGGGCTGCCTGGCCCGCCATGGCCGAGGAGGGTGGCAGGGACGAGGAGCAGCCCTGCTGCAGCAAGACCCTGGCCGCCTGCGCCCGCCGCCCAGGAGCCGCGGGTGCGGAGGGTCCGCCCGCAGAGGACAGGGACGAGGACAGCGACCCCGAAGGGTTTGTGCGGCACCACGGGCTGGGCTCCCGCGAGTACACGCTCGAGGTGGAGCTCTCCTCAGGTGCGGGCACGTCCCAGAGCTTGGGCTTCCCAAGCTGTGGGGGCAGGGGTGACTTAGGCTTGTGGGTCCTCATTGCGACACGCAGGCCTGGCGGTTAGGGTGGGCCTGATGCGCCAGTGATGGGGTGCCCCTGCGGAGGGGTTGGAGGGTGGCTGGGAAAAAGAAGTCATTGAGAAACAGCTTGTCACCATGTTTGTGACGACACAGGTGGTGACAGGCTGGCCCCACGTGGCTCCTGCTTTCCAGCCACCGGTGGGGCAGGGGCACTGACCCCCCGTCCAACCCCATGTGGCCCAGGCCCATCAGGCGGGGCTGGAGGACAGCCGGGCTGCAGGAAGAGCCCTGCAAGCCCCAGGGAACCAACACCCTCTGGCCGGGGCCGTGGAGGCAGGGGTGTGCTGGAGGTTGGGGTGCCTGGTTGAGGCTCGCGGGCGTGGTAGAGCTCAGAGAGAGGACTCTGGGGCCCAGGGGCGGGTGTGGCCTCCATCCCGCAAGTAGTGCGGGGAGGGGTCTCCCGACCACCTGGCGCGGAGGGAGGCGTTGGGGTCAGGCTAAATCCATCGTGGCCGAGATCACAAGGCAGTGAGTCTCCTTAGGGAGTCAGGTTTGAGGTCCCGGGTGATGTGTGGCTGGGGCAGGGTGGGTGGCAGTGCGGGTGGCCCGTCTGGGGTGCCCGGTGACCTGCCCAGGCGGTGGTCCCTCTGATGACCCGTGTGCTTGCTGCAGACAGCCTGAAGGTGCACGAGGATGAGGACAACCTGGTCATCATCCATGTGGTCCGGGACACGCTCAGGCTCATCCAGAACAAGTTCCTGCCAGCCGTGTGCTCCTGGGTCCAGGTGGGCCAGGCGTATGGGCAGAGGGTGCCAGGGCGACCCCGGGGGAGGGAGGGAGGGTGCCCAGCCTGCTGAGTGCTTCCCCGTCCTCGCAGCTGTTCACCCGCGCAGGGACGCGCGGCAGGCACTTGGAGGGTGCTATCGACCTGAAGGCTGAGCTGGAAACTGCCCTGAGGCGATCTCGGGAGCTGGATGTCATGCCCGAGGAGGGCTGCAGGAGGGAGGTGAGTGCCGCCGGCCCGTCCGCCCGTGAGGACAGCCAGGGGACCTTCCTCTGATACCAGCTCGGCCTCCTACGCAAGCAGGCGTCCCTGGGTCCCCAGCGTTGTTCCTTCTCTTCCTCCCTGGGAACCGACTTCCCTGAGCGGGAGCCCTGGACTGAGCACCAGAGGCCACAGCCAGGCCCCCGCCACACGTGGAGGGACTGGGACCGGGTCTTGGCAGAAGGGCGAGGGAGGTGGGCTGGGCAGCGGGCGGAAGGCTCTAGTTGGGGAGGGGGCTCCCAGGGCCCAAGCAGGGATGTGTGGGAGGCGGCCTCGTTGAGACTAGGCTGCCGCCCGGCCCGAGCACCTAGTAGGCCCCTTCCCGTGAACTCGGTAGCAATTTCCAGCCTTGGGCGTTTCTCCCGTCTGTGCACTGGAGCCAACGGTGATTGCAGGACACAGAAAACCAGGATGTCTCTTACGTGCAGAGCAGTGTCCCAGCCTAGGGCGGCCAAGTGGGGTGGACGTGGGGACTGGTGCCTGGTTTTGGGAGGGTGCTCAAGGCCTGCCATCTGCTGGGCATACGGCGCCGCCTCCCAGGTGCCACGTGGTTCGGGAGCGGGGAGCTGATCTTCCATGGCTGTGTCCCCAGCAAGGCTTGTGGGGCGGGGGCAGGCGTGTGGCCCTGGTCAGGGGCCCCGGGGACTGGGCGGGGTAAAACCACCTGCTCCCGGACACCAGGCCCCTGTGCGGTGACCCTGAGCCTCAGAGATGGTGGCGTCCAGGGCCCCTCCCATGGGCTTGCACCAGGGGCTGGACCTTCATGCCTGAAAGGGACTGAGAGAGCTGGGTTCTCTGAGGGTGTCCCAGGGGGCTGTGGGGGGCGGGGAGCTGCTACAGCTGGAGGGTGTGTGGGGGTGACAGCCACAGCTGGACGTCATTGGCAATCAGAGCCAAGAAGCCTGTGGTCAGAACCAACGAGGAAACGGGCAGCAGAGTGCACTGCGCCCCAGGGACGCCCAGAGCCCGAACCCCACAGGGCTGAGCTGTGGCACCTGAAGGGGGAGGGGGCGGGGGCCGGGGCAGGTCCCTCTCCTGTTCCTGAGGAAGCCCTGGGGTGGGGAGAGCGCTGTTCCTTGCTGAGGAAAAGGTCAAGTTTGAAGCTCCTCAGACTCAGAGGGGAGAGTGGCCAGCACCCTGGGCCTTGGTGCCTCGTCCTTGCCCTCAGGGGCCCGCGGGGATGGGCCCTGCGAGAGTTTCTGAGAGCTTCCGGAGCAGGGGGCCGTCGTCTGCTCTCCTCTTTGCGGGTGTGCAGCCCCCGGAGACCAGCAGAGGGCGATCTTGATCTCCCGAGACACGCGGCAGGAGGCCTGGTTGTCAGCTGGGGGCCTGGCCCTGCTTCCGTGGCCGCTAGGGCTTTGCTGGGTGCATAACTGAACAGGAAATAAGTTAGTTCTGTCAGTTTTGACCGAGATACTTGTTTCACGATGAGAAAGGGTGTTTTCTGGGCCCGGGGGAGGAATTGGTCTGGTGCGTGCGTCCTCTCAGGTCTGGGGGGTGCGTGTTTCTGAGGCTCAGCGGACTCCCGGCGCGGTGTCGGGTTAGAAGGCCAGGCCGAGAGCAGTGAGGGGTGTGGGGATCAGGGGTTGCCACCGTGTGCCCCCTTCACAGGCACCTGAGGCTGGCGTGTCTTGCTCAAAGGCCACCTTTCCCTCACTGTGTCTGGCGGGGCTGGGGCAGCTCCCCCCTTCTCCGAGCAGCGGGCGTCCTGGAGCAGCCAGGGCTCTGGGGGAGCCTCAAGGAGAGACCAGGCAGCACAGTCTGGTCCCTCCGGGCCTGGGCCCAGCCTGCACTGCCCGGGCTGGCAAGACTCGGAGCCCAGACTGGTAGCAGAACCTTCCGAATGTCTTGATGTGGCTCCCTAGAGGGCCACTAGGTGAGGCCAGCTGCTGGGAGCGAGCCCTGAGCGGCCCACTGCGTCTGTTTCCAGCTTGAACATCAGTGCATCCTTGATGGTGGCCGGGCAGCCCCAAAGCCCGGGAGGCACGTCAGGTCAGAGTGCACTCTGTGCAGGGAGGCGACTGAGGGCACGAGCTGAGGTGGCCGGGGTCTGTCGGGGTGGGCGCGTGGTCGGGTGTGGGAGTGTCGCTGCCTTGTCAGGCTCCTCCAGGAGTTGATTCCAGAGGCCCTGAATCCTTGGAGAGCGTGCCGGCTGGTTCACTAGCAGTGGCGGCAGGCTTGTTGATGGGGTGATTGGGGCTTGGCCGCTGAGTGGCAGCGCCCACTCGCTTGGGCAGCCTGCTTCCCAGAATAGGCAGGCTGCGGCATCTGCGCACCTGCGCCCGCGCCACGCGGCCCAGTGGCAATTAGAATCACGGCCCAGTCTTTCTCACTCACTCGTTTTCACGTAAAATGTTCGGGGCTTAAATCCTTTGCCTGGTGTTTACCCACTTAGCATGCGGTGAGCTGGGAGCATGTAGTTAAATATTTGAGAATTTTAACAAACGTGGAAGAGACCAAAACTGATGTGAAGGTCGTGCTGAAGCTTAGGCGATGGCTTCGACCGTGGAAAGTGTGGGTCGTGCAGGGGCTTCTCCTGGGCAGCCTAACTGCAGCCAGGCCAAGGGCCTTTTTTTCAGATTTCCTGTTTCAGTCTGTGTGTTGCTGTATTGTTTTCCTTTTGATGTAGACATTGTGTCTTTAAAGAATACTTAAGCCAGCTTAAATACGTTTAACCGTTTGTTTTATAGAGTATCTGTCCCTGTTCCTTGTGGAAGCGGGCCGGGGATCAATCTTAACTAGATCGATATGGAGCATCGTTTGGTAGATTTAGTTTCCAGTTTTGCTGCTAGAGGAGAGGTCTAATAATCCGTGGCTGCTACATCCGTTAAACTGATAAAAATCCTTTGAAAACTTTTAAATTGCCTGCTGCTTAACTATGTAGCTACGATCACCACTTAACTTTGTATTGTGTAATTAAAAAAATATTAATCTTTCTTCAACCAGTAAGTCAGAAAAAAATAATTCCAAGTATCAGTCTGTTTAAGCTGTGGACAGTGTGGGTGTCTTCTCAGTTGTCAGGTTCCTCGCTTCCACGGCTGGAATGCCCGCGCGGATGCTCTCGTTCTCACCCATTGGTGGTCTGAGGTGGCAGCCACAGGGTTTTAACTCAGACACACCCCCTCTCATTGCAAAAGTGGAGATCGCTCCTCTTAACCCTGGGTGAGGTTTTCTTCCTGCTGGTCGCCCAGGCGGGTGCGCGGGCCGGGTGCGCGGGCCGAGGCCAGGCTGCTGTCACGGCTGTGCTGTGTGCTGGAGGCGAGGCGTTTTTCTGCTCCCGGAGCTGAGTGCTGGCTTCCTGTAGGTGAAAAGGAAGGAGCAGGGAACAAGGGGAGTGAAATGTTGACCGCGTCGGGTGCCCCACGGAAGCAAGGGAACTAAATCAGCTGGCAGTCAGGACCTTGTGTTCGGCAGGGCCAGTAAACAACCTTCCTGGTGACGCGCCCTCTCCATCACCACAGCGCTGAAGGCTGCTGTGTGAGGGCTGGAGCCGGGGGAGGGGGCTGCACACGTTCTCGCGAGGACGGGGACCAGGAGCGTGTTAGCTGCTGGGGGGGCGGGGGCCAGCCGTCTCCCCCGCAGCCCCTGGGCCCTCCCTGCCCTGCAGCCCATCCTCCCCGGCACCCTCCAGGGTGGCCGCTCTCTTCCAAACACTTTGCACGTGTGATCCCGTTAATTCCAAAGTCAGCCCTATGAGGTCGATTCCATTTTCACGGTCCTCTCACGGATGGGAAGACTGAGTCTAGGCGGAGCCGCGTGGGTCTTCCGGCCAAGGTGAGGCGGCACAGCAGGCACCTCACTCTTGCTAGGAGGTCGTGCTGAGGGAGGAGCGCGCCCTCATCACGCAGAACGGGCTCAGGCCACCTGGCCTCGGCTTGGAAATGGACGGCCAGGCGTTCGGTGGCCTCCCTGCGCACCCCCGGCAGGCTGGCAGAGGTGCTGGAGCAGCTCTCAGGGCTCGGCCGCGTGGGAGCGGGTGAGAAAGGGACAGCCGGTCTGACTGGTGGCTCTCAGGCCCCCGTGCGGGAGGTGAGGACGTGCTCCACGCTCCGTCCGCCTCCTGTTCCACGGGCCCGTGGTGGTCACCGCGCGTCCTCTGCCCTCTGAGGTGCGTCCCGGCAGTGGAGATGCGCGTGAGGTATTGGCCTGGCTGGGCAATTTGCACTGCGTCCAGGGAGGGCATTAGCATATAAATAGCAGATGTGATGACAGCCATCACAGCTGAGCACGTTTAATTTTTAGTTTATAAGATAGAATGGGGTTTTAAATGCATTGCCATCAAGCCGCGGAGACAAATGCAGCTTGGAGCTCACTTGTCTGACGAGGCCTTACATCATTTTTTTTTAAAAAAAGGGAAACAGACACACATGAAACTGAACAAAAGTGATTTCTTGGGTGAAAAGTAATGGAGATGGCGCCCCGAGTTAATTAGATCGCACAAAATTTATTTAATGGTCCAGCTGTATCTCGGGCGTGCCTTTGGCGGGCAGACCTGGGAGGTGGCTCTTCCCATCCTTCTCAAGTAATTAGCAACCCGCTGCCCTACTTCTGTAAACAGATTACGTTGTATATCTTAGCTGTTTTTATTGCTTGTTTAATTATGATTGGGGAGCCTCATTTTTCTAAATCCTTTTAACTGTGGGCGAGAATCAATTTGTGTGAAACCAGAGGAAAGCCCGGGGCGTCCTCCACACCTCCCTGCGGCCTTGGAAGGGTTCAGCTTGGGGCCTGGCCCTCACCCAGACGGTTGACCGCAGGGCTCGGACCGCCTGCCCGGGCCTCCGAGGCCCTGGGACTTGACCTGTTAGGGAGGGTGGGCACCCCGCCGGGGGCGGCCTGGCATGGCCTCCTGGCCCCCAGACGAGGGCGGGCTGCTTTCTCAAGCATGTCTGGTGGTCTTTCTTCCCGATTGGGAAGCTCAGCTCCCAGCAAACTTCTCTTGAGAACCACTGGCGAGTCTGGCCCCGTTTTGAAGGCCACCTACCCTCAACCGATTCCTCCCTAGGGCGTGACCTCCTGGGCTCCTCGGGCCTCCCCTCATCCCTGCTCTGCCCGTAGTGCCTCTACGCGCACCCAGTGTGGCGTCTGACCTGATCTGTGACCTTTAACCTGGAGGGGAGGTTGCCAGCGCGACTGCCTGGGACCCCTGGGCTGGCCCCCCGAGCACAGGTGGATGCTTTCTCGTGGGCCTCGATGTCTCCAGCCATGTGCTTTCCGGAGGCCTGGAGAGGACTGTCCAGCCTGCGGGCAGGGGGTTTCCTTCCTCTGAACGGGCCCTTGGCCCCAGGTGTTCCGGCCGCAGGGATTGTGCCTTGGGACATCTGCACTGCTGTTCTCCCATGAGGGTAGCGTGCCCAGAGCCGGACGCAGAAGGTCCTGCTGTGTGCTCAGGACAGCAGAGCCCAGCCCAGCCCGTATGAACTAGAACTCGAGAATGGGTTCATTCAAGCTTGAGTTCAGTAGCAGCAGCGAAGCCCCTGCTTCCTCCCGCAGGGCCGTGGTTTGAGGGTCACCCCAGCTGCTAAGGGGTTTAGGACGCAAGCGTGGCAGCGATGGCCAAGGTAGCTCTCGTACAAAGGCGCTGGGGCCGCTCACAGCAAGGCTGTGCCCGAGGACCTGGCCGGGGGCCCTAAGGAGGCAGCTCTTGAGGGCCAGACGGTCTTCCTGGGTGCGGTACGGCCTCATGGCCTCGTCAGTGAGACTTTAAGAACAGAGGGAGCCAGGGCTTAGTGTTTAATCATGGGGATAAACAACTTTAGTTGGGGAGAAAGAAGGTATAATTCCTAATAGTTAGCTAAGCAGCTAATTATTTTTTAGGAAATGAAAATTTAATAAAAGTCCCAGGTGAAATTCAAGGGTGTGAGCAATAAGCATAACATTTTATGAAAATGAGCCCCATATTTAAAGTCTGGCACTACGTGTTATGCATTGTAGCACCTGGTCCACATCTACCTTTAGAAAATTAAAACACATAAATTCTGTTTAGTGTTTGATACGCACTGCACTAGCCGGGACCGTAATGCCCTAAAACCTTGGGCTGCTTTCCACCTTTCATAAATTGCTGGGTAGATTCTATACAAAAATAATTTTCAGGTCCGCGGCTCATTGTTATTCAAACGTGATTGATCGTCGTCATTTGCTCAGCTCTGGAGTTAAGTGCCCCTGTCATTTCCAAAGAGTATAATTGGGACGTTTCACAGGTCAGCGGCGGAGACAGGCTTCCCTTTTGATCAGTGTTAGACCGATAACAAAAATTACAGTTTCCAATGATTAATGTCTCCGTGCTTCCCAGACGCATGCTGCGGGTTGTGCCCAAGCTCAGCGCATTTGCATCTGATTAGGCCTCGTGGGCAGCTCCTCCGTGGATTCTGGGTCCGCAGGGCGTGGGGCGTCGCCGGGCTGGGCCCTCCGTCCTTCCCGGCGTGTCTGTGAGCCCCTGAGGCGTTGCTGTCGAGATGGGCTCTGGAGGGGAGGGCAAGTCTGATGGATACAACTGTTGGTTGCTGTCACCCCGACAGCGGGCTGCCTCTCTGGACGGTTCCTTCGGGTGGGCCTGGGGGCAGCAGCCTTTCCTGGCCTGAGAGGCTGGAGGCAGACAGCGCCCCCCGAGTGTTTCAGGATGGCGCTGGCAGTGGGGCCGGGCTTCTGGGCGCCTTCCTGCCGTGACCCTCTCAAGAAGGACAGGCCCCCACGCCCTGTCCTGGAGTGCGGGGGGCTGTTGAGGATGGGTGAGGGAGAAGGGGAGCAGGAAGCTGCTCTGGCCTTGGAGGGGCTGTGCCTCTGGGTCTGCGCAGCATGGGCTGCCAACACCTCATTCATGCTGCACGTGGCCCCAGCACATTGGCACGTGTGCGAGGCCGTCGGTCGTCCTGCTTTTTGGAGGGCCCTCTGGTCCCCACGACGTGAGCCCTCTGTGCTCCGTGTCCCTGCCGCTCCTACCCAGCCGGGCACTGCCCAGGAGTGGGTGGGGGCAGAGGCAGAGGGGACGGGTCTTGAAAAGAACGCCTTGGGTGGTTCTTGGGTCCCTGGGCTTGAGGGGTGGGGGGGCTCCAGGCATAGCACAGTGACCCTGCCTCGCAGAGCAGGCGGGGAGGTTGGCCTTGTCCAGAGGAAGCTTCCTCTTCGGTGGTTTCTTAACAAGCCGTCTTGAAGGTAGAGTATTCCAGAAGTGCTGTGGTCACACCGGCACCACTGGACACCCAGGTGGGGAGCCAGCCCGGGGCAGGACGAGGTGCTTTGGCCTGGCTGGAGCTGCATGGAGGGCCGTCATGCAGGCCCTGCCTGTGCGGGTGAGACCTGCCGCTTGTGGGGGCTCTGGGCTGAAGCAGAGCCCATCCGCGCATCTCAGGGCCGGCCAGTGGAGGAACGCGTGCAGCTCGTGTGGTTTAGGGGCGGGAGCGGACCTCCATCGCGGCCGTCTCGGTCGACAGGAAACCCCGACCTGGGGAAAGTCCACAGAAGCAGGACTGGGGCTGTCCGGGTCTCCGCCTGTGCTGTCCACTCACAGGTCTGGGGGTGTGTCCACAGGCGGCAGCCCTGCGGGACGAGGCTGAGGACGACGAGGACTTTGTGGAGGTCCCGGAGAAGGAGGGCTATGAGGCCTGCGTCCCTGAGCACCTGCAGCCTGAGTGTGGTGAGTGGCCAGGTTGGGGCCGGGAGGAGGTCCCGCCCCGGACGCTGCCCTTCAGGTCAGGCCTCACGTCCGGCCTGGGGCCCGCCAAGCAGGGAGCTGGCCGTGGTAGGCACCCCGAGTCTGCACCACCTGGTCCTGAGGTTCACTGCGTCCCCGCCCGTCGACCCTGCAGAGCCGCCTTCATTGAAAACCATGTGATTCTCGTTTCCTGGTCGGGGTGCTCACTGGCCTGGGCCCCTCCCCGAGGTCCGCCCCAGGTTCCCGCGGTCCACTTGGTGGGCAGGCCCTGCTGCCAGTTCCTGTGGGTGCGGCCAGGCTGTCCACACACGGAGGCCCCCGACCCACCCCACAGGCCCATGCTGACCACCCCCCCGCCCTGCAGCTTCAGGCCTCACCACGGTGAGGGGCAGCCCTGCTTGGGGTCACAGAAGTCTCAGCCGTCGGGAGTGAGTCCAGGGTTGGAAGGGCACCCTCAGAGCAGAGAGCGCCTCCTGGGCTTGGGGGAAGGTGTTGGGGGCACGCCGTGTGGTTACCGCGGCGGTAGGGCCCTTTGGGCTGGGAGGGAGTCGGGGGGGACGCCACTGCCTCGGTGGATGGGGGGCAACCACATTCTCTGGGCTCCCCTGCTGCCCAGTCTCCATTTCTCAGGGGTGTCACAGCTCAGGCGGTGTCCTCCTTCCCATTGATGGAGTCGCAGCCTGACGTCTGGCCCAGGAGCAATGACACACCTTGAGAAGGCGTGCTACCCGCGACCTGTCTTTCCCGTGTAGCATTCTTTTCTTTTCCAAAAAGTCTCCAAAAGCCTCCTCTTCACAGGAGGCATCTCTTGTCCAGAGGAAGCTAATGAAACCAAGATCGCACGTGGGTTTGTGGAGAAGTGGACAAGTTGATTTGATCGGTGTGTGTGAGATGAGATATGAATTTGTTAGTTTAGACGCTCAGGCAGTTGGAGCGTGAGGGCATGACCCTTTAGGTGTGTCACACCAAGTTACCACACCAGCTTCACAGCCCTCCAGTGTTTGGGTCCTGCCGTCTGTGCCACGTGACCCTCCCTGGGTGCCCTAGGGTGCAGCCTCCACCCGCCTCCTGCCCTCCCGGCCACCGCCCCGCCCTCGGTCCCGGCTGCCCCAACCGCGCCATCCCAGCAGTGGGGCTCCTCTGACCACTGGGCCACTCCCCGTGCCCTCTGTTCTGCCTTGTCCTCCAGGTGCCTGGCCCGCACCCCGCAAGGCCTCGTCCCACACCCGTGAGGCTGCCAGGGGTGCTGGAGGCCCTGGGGTGCCTTGACTGCCCTCCCAGGTCTCCCCTGGCCGCCCCGCATCGAGGGAGCTCCAGCCCCGCCAGGAGGCTCCCAGTTCGCCAGGCACCACTGTGGGTGACCACCTCCAGGTGTCACCGACCCACCACTTGTCTTCCCAGCGGGGCCCCAGGTGTGACAGTGGAGCTGAGCCATCCCCTGATTGTGGGCCGGGCAGCCTGGGAGCCCTCGCACGACAGGACCTGCTGAGCTCCGGGTCTGTCCTGCAGCAGTGGGGGGGCTGGGTGCCGTCCCCCCGTTCCCTGGAGGGGTCTGGTTCCTGGTCTGGAGCACAGAGCTCGGGGCCACGGGGCCACTGCAGGAAGTGCTGGGCGCACCAGTTCATAACTGTAGTTGATAGTCCGTCACTGGTTTTTCAATTAAACTCAGGTGACTGCAGTAGATTCGGTCTAAATCCACAGCTGAGGAGACGGGCGCCCGTTTTCTTTCTCATTTCTTTCTCTGAATTTTCACTGAGGGGCTTTTATCTTCCCGTTAATCCTACCATTTCTGTCAGGACGTAATCTCTTTCTCAAATTTACATTTTAATTACAAGGCCAGCTGAACTAGGTAAAATCAATAGTGTCAGGCTTGCAGCCGAACTCCACGCGGAGCCCCCGCCCCTCCATTTCCTGCCATCGATCCCGCCCACCCCATCTGCTTTAGCGCTGCAGGCACGGAGGTGCCACTTGGTCAGTTTAAACCAGCCCAGGGGGTTTGGGCATTCTCATGACTCTTCCTCAGAGCCGCCGAGGGAGCAGATTTGAGCTGAGATCTGTGTTTGAGGCAGACGCCCCTGTACGGGTGGGTGGGGCTAGCGGGGTTCGCTGTGACCTGCGACCTCCGGTCTCCCCGGACTCAGTGTTCTCCCCGAAAGCACAGCACCCGGGGCCGGGGGACACGTCTGCTTTTCGGACTTTTACCTTGAAAGTGTGTCAGGGTGATTGATTTTCTACAGCAGTGTGAGCACGGTAGTGTTTTTTTAGTGCTCTGAGTGTTTACCCTGCTTCAACACGCTCACCCATCTTTTTAATGGTTTAAAACAACAAATCAATGAAAAATATATTTCATTCTTGTAACTCTTAGGAATTCTCGTATCGATCTTTGGGTTGCGATTGTAGCCACCTACATGAGTGCCACAGCGGCCACTTATCAGTCCCGCCTCCCCGTGTGTGCGCATGCCCGTGTCGGGGTCTGCACCAGTTGGTAACGCTGCATTGTAGGCATCCCGAGTGGGGGCATCTGGAAGGCTTTGTGACTGGACCTGGGATGTGTTGGTCGCGGGGCCGGGTCCCCGCCGGCCTTCCAAGAGCACCCAAGCCTCAGGGCTCAGGGTGCTGCCTGGTGACCAAGGTGGACCCTGCCACGCCAAGTGGCTCTGCCCCATGTCCTCCACTCTCAGCCACGGGCACCTGAGAAGCAGGGGTGGACCCCGTACTCTCAGGGCCGTGCGCAAACTCGGAGGGCGTCTGGAGCAGGCAGGGCGGGCGTTTTTCGTGAAGGGCCTGGGGTAAACGGTTTCAGATTTGTGGGCAGTATGAGGCCTCTATCGCTGCTACTCACCTGCTATCATCTACAAAAGCACCAGATAGCATTCCGGCCGCGCACGTGGGGAGGCCACGTGCAGACAGCGGGAGGACTTGGCCGCGAGGTCCGCCCACCCTGCTGCAGAGAGCCTGGAGCTGATGGTGGCCTGAGCCAGCCTTCCCACCCTGTCCTTTTCGCCTTTCTCCCCTCCCACTTCCCCTTCCTCCCCCAAGTATTTCCCCTGGCGCCCAGCTCTCAGTGCTGTGTCGTTTCCTTTCTGGTTTCTCTGTCTAAGTGGGGGGATGTTCTCCAGCCTGTGCACGTGGGTGGAGGGATGGAGACGTGCCATCAGGGAGGCCGGGCTCGTGGTGTCGCGGGCAGCGCTTCGTGTCGCTGTTGGTGTTGCTCTGCTCCCGTGGCGGCCCTTTGGCCCCTGGAGCTGCCTGCCTGGCTGTCTTGTCAGTTTTCCACGTGTCCTGGGAAGGACTTCTTAGACGTGAGGCCCCAGGGTGTCTGTCATAGAAGCCACGGCCTCACTGACCCTTCATCCACCCCCATTGGCCAGGGTCCGGCCGGAACTCCCAGGGCGCTCCTGAGGCAGAGCCGTTCACGTCCGTTACACCTTCACACACTCCTCTTATGCAGCTTTTTGACATAGAACCCAGTTTTTTTTGTGGTGACATCGGCTCAGCTTCCTTCTAGTTCCCATTGGCACAGCGAGTGTTTTTTCATCCTTTTATTTTCTTTTATTCGTAGTCTCTGTTAACCTTTTGTTTTAAGTGGTTCTCGCCCAAATGGTAAATCGCTGCTTGTTTCTAATTTTATCAGCGTGTCTTCTCGTTGACTTGAATCCGTTGAGTTACTCCCGTGCTCTCAGCTGGGGTCGCCAGCGTCGTGCTGCACGTCTGTTTGCCGGCCTCCCTTTAGTCTGCTGCTGCTGCTGCTGGTTTGTTTGTTTCTTTCCCTACCTTTTATTTGCCGGGGAAACCTTTTTTCTGCTGATTTTTTAAGAGATCAT